TAGTTTTTAACTTTGAAATTTCCAGAAAACATCCTTATTTAAAAATCTGCGTCAACAAACCATAAGCATAAGTTCTCTACAAATCATTCTGTGATACTCTCTCATTCCAATGTACCCTTGAACGTAGACTAGTAAGCAACACTTGCTTTGCTTATACCAACATGCTAGAATTCAATTACGGTGCCATAAACTATTTCCACATATCATACTACCAGTTTTCGGCTTACTGTAGTTGTGCTAGCGCTGCAGGTCGTATACAAAAGACGGCAGTGTAAGCACGTCATGAACAATTTATCCTCAATACTGTCATACTTCATTGTCACAACATAACATATACTTCCGCACAGAACCTGTCGACCTGCTTGGCGGGGAATTCTTTGTTCTTAGAAAACTTTTGTGTGGTTTTGAAGGAAGTGGAACTTTTGCAAAAACGTTTGTTAACAACTAAACAGTTCCAGTAAAACAGAGTAATTCAGTACCCATCAGGAGAAAACATGCTTTGTAGGTAAAGTTTCTATAATAGGAGAAGTCAGTAAACTCCTTTCAATAAAGTTTTAGCAACCACATTACTTCGTTGTAGTTTGTCTGCTACGTGAGGTAATAAGAGCAAATCTTTCTAAATTCTCTTCTGTAATTTTCCTCAGAAATCATTACGTTCTTTAAAAAAATGTAGCTTGTCCCTTCTAAAAATAGCAAACCTGTATCTTGTTTTTGCGTCTTCCCACAAACATGTCTGTTCAATGATTTTCAACTCCTCTCTACCTCATGTATCAAAGCGTGCCATTAGTTCTGGAATCTAATCCAGTCAGCTGTCTCATTTCATATATCTTAGTCAACCCACGGGGCCTCTCCAACCTCATTATTCATTTGATTTGGTACTGTCAAGGTCGCCATCGAATTTCACCAAAACATGTATTTCATTAATTTCGGAACATCACACGCTTTAATAGTTGAGGGTGGTCGACACGAGCAACAAGCAATGTTTCGATAATAAGTACTTTTCTCTGATTGATGTGAGAAACCGCGACTATTTCTCTCCAACTTTTCCAAAAACAACATTAAGCATCTCGTTAGCGACTATTTTTGAATGGAAATGGCCGAAAAATTGATTGCATCATGACGTAGCGATGGCATCTCTCGTGAACGATTGCAATGAAGCATGTGATTCCTTTGGTCACATAAAATCATGTTGTGAACTTTGCTTCTAGTCACCATTGCATTTGCAAGGAAAATCTCTGTTGTGTGCCCACCATCAGAAACATGATGAAGCACTCAGTTCGTGTAAGCTTTTACGATTCTAGGGGCTACTATTAATTTTAAAAGAAAATCGCAGGGACAAATTGGATTATTGATGTTCAAAATTTCTAGGCACATTAATTTTGAATCTCCCATCCTGATCTTCAAATCGACAAATTAGCCTAGCTTTGGTCTCATTCAACATGCTTTGAAGCGCTACAGTACATTCCTTCCTTCTACTTATCAGATTTTCTTTGAAGGGTCGAACATATGCAGTTGATCGAATAATCTCAGCTTAAGACTTACCATTGCTTTTCAGGAGTCCATTTACTTTCACTTTAGTCGATGGGGCTCTCATTCTTTACCTAGTACTTCTAGTTTGAACCAATGTTCTTGCAACTGTAGATACGATGAGCGGATGAAGAACACCAAAGCTTATACCGAACTACTTCAACGCCTGAATTTTGAATGAGAGCTCATCATAAGTAGAGAATGATATGTGAGCAAATTGTGACTTCGATAATAAATGATGTCAGAATGTCTCTAAGCTGTGATATTGCTGACACTTTATGTAAAAACCGCCAAAGCGAGTCTTCTTCCACTACCTTCATGTCATGCGTACTTCGAAGGAATAAGAGAGACATTGAACTTTTTCATGTTCATTTAGTTGACTCTACTCATTATCAAAATATACAGTGTATTGTAGAGAAGTTTTAGTTGCAGAGTAACCTGATAGCATCAGCTTTGAACTTGTCTCCGTGTATGATGTCATTTAAAGACAAGTCATTTCAGCTAGGCATCCAGAAACGCCAGCATCCGAAGGAGATGAAACCCAAAGAGCCACTGCAGTTCAGAATGTTGACTGACTACGGATTTTCCAATCACCTCTGTGCAAACTGGGCACAAAAAGAGGACTTTGTTCCCACCTCTCTTAAGTGGATAAATATAGATTTTGGATAGTTACAAGAATGATGCAATTTCCCAAAAAACAACAATGAAAACCTGTACTTTGGATGTTTCTGGTAATTTAGCATATTTCTTTCCCCATCCCGTCTTGTCTGCCACTAAATATCACTATCTCTTTCATAATGAATTGAATGATACTAGTTTTGAATAGACTTAGATGTTCTCTTAGCTATTTCTGTACATTTTATGAGGCTTGCCAAAGCATTTGACGAAGTTACACCTCGAAGTGTTTGTCAGTTTGTTTTAACAATTTATTGTTCGATTATGAGTCAGCATCTTGTTCAACGACGTAAAACTGCAAGAAAAGATGTTCACGTGTTCAGATGACAAAGATGACGCGTTTGAGGTCGTTATCGAATCATAAACGCAGTTATTATTGTGGTTTCTGATAAGGTGCGTAGAGGAGTGGTAAGTCGCGAAGCGACGATGTCGTGGGAACGAAGTTATTCGCGATCAAAAAGTCAAACCGAAAATATCTCTCTTACCAGGCGCTCAGCGTTTTGCGATCATCGCTCTGCCCGCTGTCAACGAAACGAAGAAAGCAGCTCGCTCTCTCAAAGTCGCTCAGCGCATTTTTGGAGAACGCCCTGACTACTGTACATACAACATACAACAGTTACCATAGCCCAGAAGTTTAACAAACTGCTTGCCTGGATCCGCGCCATTATGCTTTAGGCACGGAAGTTGGAAGATTGGGAGATGACAAAACCTCAACTATTGTTGGCATTCTGCTGGGATATGAAAAATGAATTAGAACAAATTAGACAGCTATCTGAATTGCAAATTAGTTATCAATGCCTATTGGGACCTTCAAAGCAAGTACTTTTACATCAGCTAAAGAACGTAGAACTTAAAAGTTTATAAAGTAGCCCTTGATCACTGCTGTGCTTGAATCCTTCGGTAACCAAAGCTGTAAATGGAGCACCCTACATGTATCAGGGAATACAGAATGTGTATTCTGTTGCTTACAACGAATAAAGAAGCTGAGTATTTCAAGTAGCTTTCAAAGTTTATTTAGGAATTTATTCGTAGCGTTGGCAACAAATTTGTTG